GTGAGAAGGCTGAGAAGTGAAACATCTCAAAAATCATCAAATTACTAGAAAAAATGCTGCTTATTTTATATTTTGTGCATTTTCATCATTATATTTATGACAGAGTATTTTAAAAGTCCAGCTGTAAATATATGATCAACAAGCCGAAAAGCTAACATGGAACATCATAAAGAAACTAACTCAAGTCATCAGAGGGATTGGATATTCTCTAGGTGTATAGGACAAGTCTGCCAGTGGATCCAGTGGAGCAGTGACAGGACTGACAGACTCAGAAATCTGGCTGGGTTGTTTGCCAGGCCTGAGTCTGCCAGAGCAGTCTCAGCTCAACACTGAGGATATTTGTTGACAGGAGAGGAAAGGTGATTGTTTGTGAAAGGGAGTGGTGGCAGATTCTTTTGATCATTCCCCACAGTATTAATTTTTATGTAGCTTCTGGACTTGCTCTATGGCTTGTTTATGCCCACACAGCTTTCATGACCTACTCTCTTCTTCCCTGGCCAGTTTTATGCCTCCCTATATCAGTTCTAGCCTCCCTTAGTTCTCAGGTCCCTACCTTTTTTAATCTTCACCTCCTTTTTTTCAGCCATTTCCTCCTGGCTCTCAGTCTCCTTCACATCCAGCCCCACCCTTCCCTCCAATCCTGCATGCTGTCCCTTGCATGCCAGTCCTCCCTCCCCCTCCTCTCTCTGGCTGTCATTCCCCTACTGTCCTAGACTTCTGTTTAATCATGTTTTTGGTGTCTTTGCTGAGCCAATCCTGGCTTGAATCTGTTCTGTGACTCAACAGAGGCATAAAGGCCCACTGTCTACAACATTAGGATAAATGCTTTCATGATACTGACCTTTTTGAATCCCTAATTCTTCTCAGAGAGGTGCTAGATCCTGCTTTCCTTATCAAACAAGGTATTCCTTATCAATTCCAGGAACCTATTTAACAGCAATATCCATTTCTTCTTTTTCCTTACATTCGTCTCAGGATCAGTCCATTGTGCCTGCTATCCATAAGGACAATCACTGATGTGAAGGCAAAGCAGTGAGTGGCAGGTCAGAAACACATTTCAGGGTTGCCCAGACTGTCTCAGCCAGGCTCTGGGTACACCATACAGGCACAGTCTATAGATCCTTTAGCTATGAAGCTCATCAGGTCAACCAAGCATACACCATGATTTATCAAAGAGATTTGGGTAAATATGGATGAACTTTCTCCAACACAAGAAAAATCTAGAATAATTTCTTTCTCCTTGTCCATTAAAATCTCTAATCCAAATAATGTGTAAGAATTTCTTTACTACTATCCACGAAGCAATACCATACTGTCTGGTTCTTTAATTTCATTCTTAAAAGTGACTGAATAATATGTGCTGATGTTTTCCAAAAATCTTCAGCACCTGCCATGAGAAATTTCAGACTGAACAGTTCAAGTGAGATGAGGTCATAAACACTAGGTTTTAGAATGCAAACCTGACCAGCAGCTTGAGCATAATAGGAGGCATTATGTTCAGTTTCTGGGTGTTACAGTTCAGGATATTCCAAGAAGTATGGCTACATACAGAGAACAGTGCCTGCCTGCTAAGCTATTGTACATAGGCAAGATCATTTGAGAACTATGGAAATTATGCTCAGCTGCACCTTCTCTAATTAGGCAGAAAACATTTGCTTTTAAGTTGAGTTTCTCAGTTGCTGTGTCCTGTTATTAAAGTAATTGGTCTCTGTTCCTTGTCTGACCCAGAAGGGGATACAGATAGGGATAGTCATCTCACTTAACCAGTCTAGCAAGGAGCTGTCAGGTTTCCATTTAGCACCTTCCTTTCCCGGTCCACATTCCTGTTCCAGTTTTAACCAGGTGAGTTTCTTGGTAAGAAAGTTGAGCCATAAGTGCAGCAGCAGCAGGATTCATTCTCAGTAAATAAACACTACACTCATAAGAAATAACAAGAAGTTTGTTATTAAAGCCTGGAGTCAGGAAACTTGATTTCATGTTTGATTTTTTCTTTGTATTCTATGTGACTTCATGAAAAACAAAGTGTTGAAAAATGCCCATGAGTTTGAACTGCTGCTCATCTCTGTGGCTGATGCTGATAAACATGTCTGAAGATGGTTGACATGTAAAATATCCTTTAAAATCTACAGGTAGTCTTAGAAACGTAAATGTTAATCTCCCTTGTTGTGGCTCCCCCATGGCAACACACAAAGTAGATTGAATTGTTAATGTCTTAAAACACAAATAAATCACTGTGAGATCCTGAGTATTCCAAGATTGTAAATATTGTCTTTTCCTTTACAAGAAACACTACATACTTGAGAGATCAGTGCAGACCTATGAGTGAATGTGGATCCTCACCATACTAATCTCCCATGGAAGTGACTGAAAGATTGAAATTGAATTGAAGATTGAAATGAAGATAATTATATTAGAAAGTCAGCATCTTGTCTATGTAGACCAGGGGACTGAGACCAAAGGCTCCAACACGGGCTTCTCACCAGAGAGAGAGCACAAGCCAGTGGACACCTGTCTGGCCAAGTCGTTAGTACTCACATAAAAGGACCAAATGCTGAGTGGAGCTCGAAACTGGGAGCCGAGCCCCACCTAGTGACCCATGATAAAAGTACTCAGCTGCTACTAAGTAGAATAAATGTTTTATTCGATCGTGTTTGAAATTCAGGAAAAAGTAATATAATTAAAATATTTATTTTACAATTTTAAAAAAATCCTATTATAATTGCAAGTTATTTTCTAGCATTTCTAAGATATATGCTCCTAGGCTAGCTGAAGAAATACAAGAATTTTGATTGATATTGCTCAGTATAATCAGGCCTCTGTTGCTGATTCCAATGTTTATACATTAACTTCTGGATTCTGGATTCTGGAGTTTATTAAAAAATATTTGTTGCACTTGCTGTTTTCCTCTATTCACAGTAGGAATGGAACACAAAACTTAAGGAGGATCCTTCAAAAAGTGCCAGATCAACAGCAAAATATTAGCATGTGATGACAGCAAGTCATCAGATTCTAATATAGTCCTTCATCACTGGCATTGTACTTCAAGATGATTTTTCTTAATCAGATAATGATTCTGTCTCAGAGTATTCTTTTTGTCTAGGTTAAAGGTTATTAATAATTTTTGGTTAGTTTTCTTGATATAATAAAAAATTTAACTTCTCTTACAAAAAAAGATTAAGTTTCATATGAAATTTCACATTTGTATCTCAAGGGAAAACTACTTTTCCGATATATTTTTCAAGTGCAACAGCACGAAGGGAAGGGAAAACTATCTTCTCTATTTAGGTTTTATAAGCAGAAAACTACCCTTTCACTTTCAGAATTTTATTCTAATTTTCACCCAAACTCTGAAACCTCCCAAAAGTTGACGGATAACAAGCATTAAAAGACAGAATGCTCATAAAGACAAGAATTATGAGCTGGGTGGAAACTAAATGATTAATAAATTCTATGTAAGAGAGAGTTTTTAGAGATCTTTCCTGCTGTGTTTCTTCAGAACCACTTCTTAGGAGGGGGTGGGAGTGTGTGTAAATTTAAATCAGAATTGTAGCAAGTTCTGTCAAAACCGTTAAAATGTCAGTTTCAGAAACAGTGTACGACCTACCCTTTTGGGAAAATGTAGTTATTTCCAGTCAGCTTAGAAGGATTCTGAAATGCTCTGGGGCAGAGATTAATTCCTTTTTGTAAAAGCCCAGTTTCTGATATTACCTATTTACTTCCATGTTTACTAGTCTGTCACCGACGTTTCATGCTGCGCTTTCTCCAGAGACCTGGAGTACATTTGGCTTTGTTTTGCTTTCTTTTTTTTTAGACAAGACTAGCCTAGTGCTCTGTCTCCTCTACAAGATGGACCAGTTCTTAAACAGTTCTGCAAAACAGCTACCATTTAATTCAATTTTATTGCAGTTGCAGATGTTCTGTTACTTCTTAAAGAGGACATTTATTTGTTCCACTGTTAGGAAGAAAACAAAACCAAGCTTTTAACATCCTTTCAGTTTGTAATTTTCTCTAGATTATTGAGCTGAATTTAGTGAACATAAAATAGTCAACAGGGCCAGCGCAGAGAAAACATGTTATTAAAAGTGGCTAATAATTCTCGCATTCCTTGGTCATCTGAGTTACAAGGATTGACCTAATTCGGTGTTATTCCTGTTGTTGCAGGTTATTTCTGCGCGTGCAAAATGCATATGGACGTAGATGAGAGGTGTGTATAGCGTAACATACACCTGGTGCGGTAATGTTCTGGTGGTCTAACTGTACGAACAACAACCAAACAGAAGCTGGAAAGGATCTATGACTGACTGTATATTGATTATGCATTCGGAACAATCGGGGATCAGCATCAGTGGGCTTTGCGGGACGGAACCGCCCCCATTTTGCGCTGGCGGTAACAAATCTTCAGCTATTCCCAGAAATAAGCTGATGAAGGGTGAAATACAAACCTCCCGGCCTGGCCGGCTGTATAAACCTGCAGCTGTGGAGGAGCTGCCGGACCCCCCGAGCAGGTTTCCCGTGAGCCGGAGCGGGAGCGGAGCGCCCCGGGCAGCAATGCCGCTCCCTCCGTCCCTGCCTGCCCGCCACCGGCGCAGCGGCTCCGGCCGAGCCCGGCCACAGCGGCGGGCGGAGCTGCCGGAGGTGCCCCCGCCCGGCCTGACCCGGCCCCGCGGCGCTGGAACCGAGCCCCGGGCAGCCTCACCCCGCCGAGCCGGCTGCGCCCCGGACCCGCCCGCCGCCCCCGCGGAGCACGGCCCGGCTCGGCCATGGAGCGGAGCGCGGGCCGGCCGCAGGTGAGCGCCGGGCCGGAGCGTGCCCGGGACACCGGCGGGGCGGGGGAGGCTGAGCGGGGAGTGCGGGCAGCGCACCTCGCTACGGCACAGAGCTGCCAGGTGTTCGGCACCCAGAGCGGAGCTGAAATCTCCGCCCTTTGGAACTTAGTTAGGTTCACGGGAAGTTCCTTCTGCTGTTTTCTTGAACCTTTTTTTTTTTTTTTTTCTATTTAGGGCTCTGGAGATAGTGTTTCTGAACGGCTGGAATGGAGACCAGTCGTTTACAGAAAGTGCACAGACACTCTCTGGCTGCTCCTCTTCTGTCTTTTCTGGGCTGGTTTGGTAAGCACGCATGTTTGTTTGTTTATTTCCTGGAAGGACAAATCAGATCCAAAGTTAATGGAGTTCTACGTAGTGTTACACTAAATCTAAACTGAAATTGTCACGGACACAGGTCCCCAGGATTGCCCAGAGTTAGATCTTACTTTTGTGGTGGTGCAGTGCTTTGTCGCGTTATCTGTCACACTTCTAAGTTCTGCCCATGTGCTCTAGATACTATGTATACACGGGGCTCGGTTATTTAGAATTCACTTTTCTTGTAAATCAGTCCAGGCTCTGACTGGGCTCTTTACTTATTCTTGCAGCCTTGATATCTTGCAACATGTGTCCATCTGATGCTACATTAAGTCACTATCTTAGAACAGCATGCATGCTTTTGGGAGAAGGTTTTGTCTTTCTGAAGCATGAATGGGGTTTTTAATGTTATGTCTAAGTCTACTCAGATTCTCATAAACGCACTTTTTAATTCCATGCATAGTAACTTTTTTAATGGAAGCAGAATATTATCTGCACATTTTGAATACTGCATAAATGGATGGCGAACTTTGTGATCAGGATAGGGGATTTTTTTACCTGCTGTCTAATACTTAGTGTTTGATCAGTGGAGGGTATGCTACAAATTAAACCTGACAAATGGTAAGGATTTGGGATTTTTGTTCGGTTTCTCTCACTGTTTTTATTGCTTAGTTTCTGTGAAATAGCTTATTGCACACATGTATTTGTTTTCTTGTGTTTGATCTTATTTTAAAAGTATTTAAGAAAATGCAATGACACTAATTTGCTTATATAGTGAAAAAAATTTGAAATCACATTAATAGCTCTGTGGAAATGGATATCATGGCCATGTGCAGATACACCTCTGCAGCTATTGCTCTGTTACTTAACTATATTTATGGCTTTTATCCAGTATCCTGCACTTAAATATATATATAAACCAAAATCACCTACACAATGGAGCTGTAATGTCCATCTTTGGATGAAATACCAGAATTTTTCTAAAAGCCTGTTTTAGCTGAGTTACAGTGCCAGCTTGTTTCCTGTTTTCCTTCTGAGAACACTTTAATTATTAACAAAACTTGCTTTGTAAACAAACTGGATCTGGAAATATTTTGTTATTGTAACAAATCACATCCACAAATAGTATGTTAGCTTGAATGAGGAGTCTCTACAAAGACGACCATATTGAGACAGCATTAACATGCCATCATAATTTTAAAAAAATTCTGAACTAGTTAAGACCGCAAAATAAGTCTACTATAAGCAAAAATGAGATTCCTCTCAGTACTAAAGAAGCCCATCCGTACATGTTTGTGTATAAGACATGTTTTTGCCCAGATCCAATCTTTAGTCACAAGTACTAAATGCAGAAAAACAGATAAAGGCTCTAAAGCTTAAGTAAGAAGGCAGTTGTGCTGGATCTGATATGTGCAATCTGTCTCGGGCACAGCTGATACTCAGCTGTATTCACTGAAAGCAGCAGTGGTTAATGTGGGACTGGGAAATCTTGCTGCTGCCAGCATTGGCACTTAGCCACAGAGCTCAGTGATTGTCCTTGGCGTGTGTGAAATGTGACTTGCACCCCATGGGACAGAGGAGAAGTCTGCATCACTGAGTTCTCCAGTAGCTGGAGTGATGGGGAGATAGATAAGCCTTGGGTAAAGCAGTACTCAGGACTGCACCTGTTTCACAGAAGAATTGCTGCTTCTTGGCAACTGCAAAGGTTCTTTCCAGGGATTGTTTTGGCCCTCACAATGTCTAGGAGGGTTTAAGCTGCATTCCTAGACAAGGTGTTTTATTGTGACTAAGGATTGCTGTGACTAGAGCCAGTAGAGGTACTTAGCTGCCTCTGGGGTTTACAGGAAGATGATCTACTGGAGCTTTGATCTGATAGCAGAACAACTAAAAAGTCAGGGCAGTGTCACCTAAGTGCACAGTGTGGCTTTCTCCAGGTTTTTCACATGTGTTAAAGTGCTCCTTCCTGAAATTTCAGGTAATGTCCATTTAAAATACCTCTGATTAAATTCACTAGCAGCTTCAAGGGCCCATCATGGCAGCAGTTATATTGCCCAGGTGTGTCTTGAAGGTCACCCTGTAAAATGAGATGCAGTGAGCACATGAAAAATCACAGAGTGATCTTGCTGAGTGACACACATGAACATCACTAGGGACAGTGTTTAGCACCTCAGTAATGCCTTCCTCTTTAATTAGGACCTCTATCTTTCTTCTTTTGTGTTATTCTGCTTAATTTATATACTTTCAACAATAGATGAAGGAAAACTCTAAGGAAGCAATGGGACTAAACTTGCCCATGTGACTTGTTCTGGCCTTGTGCATAGGAGTGAATTTTAGATTTAACTGTTTGCAACCAGAAGGCAAAAATCTATGATTTAAAAGGAATATTTATTAAATGGGAAGGAAAAGCTATGGCTGCATACTTTCACATTAAAAAATATTTTAACAGATGTTTATAAGTGGCTATTCTGTGGTGGCTGGTGCTGCAGAAAGACTTGTGCTTGGATATGACAGCTTTGGGAACATATGTGGTCGGAAGAACACTCCTGTAGAAGGGGCAAATCTTTCTGGATTGGACATGACTAGTAAAAAGTAAGTACATCAGATAATGTCTAAATAAATCAAATATTTGAGAACTTAGTCAAATACACATCTTCTAGTTGTCAGTCGTATATATCTGTGTATCTATACATTGTTGTATTGAAAAGCAAAAAATGTGGGAATACTGCAAAAGGGTGAGTGAAATTAAAAAGATAGAATTCAAAAATGTGCTGCATTGTTATGCTTTGTGCAGCTGCCTTCCTAAGAAAGATCTTAAATGGGACATCAGCCAAACAGGCTATTTGCAAATGGCAAATCTTTCTACTTAAGGATGTTGCATGTTGAAGTTCCCAGTCATTCCACTGAATCCTTTATAAAAAGTTTCAGTTGCTTTGTAGCACTTTAAAAAGATGGAGAGAAGGTTCAGAATTTAAACTTATAAAAAACCAAGAAAGCTTATTTTTTGAGAACAGGATCTTTTTTTTTTTTTTCTTTCTAGGTATGTGTTCTTTCTGAATTCATGCAGCCTGGAAATACAAAGCCTCAAAAGCAGTTCACTTTCCTTGTGTGTGTCAAGTTGTCCACAACAGCAACTCAATTCTTTGGAAGATCTCCAGAATTTTGCAAGGAATAATGGTGTGCCACAGGGAATATGAGTACCTTAGTGTATCTGTAGAACAGCTGAGTAGCTTCCACTTTGTTTTTATAATGTTTCTTACACTAGGGAGTCATATCTTCCCATTAATTTCCTGAACAGCTCATGGTAACAGTAAATAAAATGTCTTGTTTCTGCTTTATTTCAAACCCATGGTTTCTAGAAATGTTACAGCTCTCTTATGCAAATTAGAAAGTTGTTGATTAATTCCTGCACAGTGCTGAGATTATGTAGCAGAAAACTGCTGAGAATGAACTAGTGAAGTTTGGTGGGGGCGCTGTTTGAGACTCTTGTCCAAGAGGTTCCTTTAAATGTAATTAAAACTGTGGTTGAATTATTAATTGCATGAAGACACAAGTGGATTTATCCTCTAGACATTAGATCCCAATGTTTGTTATTCCATTTTGTTGTAGTTTAACCCCAGCTGGCAACTAAGTACCACACAGCCACTCACTTCCCAGCAAATGTCCCAGGACACATTTAGAAATTTTAGATTCTGGTGTTCAAGATGAAAATGCTATCAGAAGTAGCTGTTGTGTCAAAGTGGCTCCAGTTTATTCATGTCCAACATGTAAATAAAATAATCTGTAGCCTAAGCCTTATTTCATGGGGTATAAACTTCAGACCGTATGAATATTAATGGCTCTTTTTTGTTGTTGTTGTAGGTCAGTATCCCATTCTTTTTTTTGTTTTGATGTTTTATTTGGCAGGGATTGCTATTTAAATTAACAATATTTGTTTTCATTTAATTTTGGAGTAGTTTGGCATAATTTTGTATGTGTAGAAAGCTGTAAACACCTGTGAGATTATATAAGTATTGTCAGTCTAGCCAATCATAATAGCATCAAATTCCAGCTAAAACTGCTTGCATGTTTATGTCAAAGCAGGGAGAAGTCTTGCATTCTGAATGGCTTGGATGTATCCAGCCTTTCTTTCCCAGAAGTGTTACCTAATGGAGCAGAGTGCTGTTAGCAGAGTACCTGGTGCTATTTCACCTAGATCCCAGCACAAGTTAGGTTTATGGATACATATATATTCTATTCTAACTCAGGAGAGCCTAGTTCTGTTGTAGCTTCCATTGTTTCAGGATTTTCTCTTATCCTAGTGAGCAAGGATTAATAGCCAAGTATGGCACTGTGGAACAAACAATGTGCCTTCCCTCCAGGAACATAAATAGTAACTGTAGTTAAGTCTAGAAGGCAAAAGATTCTGTAGAGATTGGTTTAGATTTACTCAACTACTCAATTTGTTATTCACGTTCCCACTGGAATATCAGGGATGAAAATGGCCTGCTAAGGGATCAAACCAGAAGCACAAACAAAATCAAAATTTAGCTGTTAATGTGCTTTTTTTATCTCAAAGTTTTACTAATATTAAGTTACTTTTGTTTTTTTATTATTATTTTTAGGTTCTTTACTTTGCATTTACAACCTGAATGTTTCCAGTTACACCCTAAATGCAAAGGCAGCTCAGCTGTGTCCCACACTGCCAGTTCCACCAAGGTAAGAATGACTGGGTACTTTACAACTTCCTTGAGTCCAAACAGCTTCTTATGGATTGTTACTTTCTCGCATTTTGTATTTGGCATGATGCTTCACAGTCAGGATGGTTTTGCTTTGTTTTTTTTATTTTTGTCCATGTACCCTTACAAGTTCTCTTATGTGCCTGTGAACACGCCAGTGTCCTGTGCTACAGAATAAACAAGGACTGCATTCCTTCCATTCCTCTACCCTTTATTCCTCTACCCTTCCATTCCTCTTCCTTTTCCAAATTAGGAAAAAGCACTCCAGATGAGGAACAACTTAGCTCCTGCACAGATTTTGCTTTCTCCCTCAATGCCAAGGATGTGGTCTTTGTTCTAATCCTGAGCCCAGAAATTTCCATCAGAATAATTTTATAGCCAGATGGCTTGAAGCACAGATCTGTGGATGTTGCTTTCTTTGTCAAGTCTGGCATTTGTGAGTCAAAATTCTTAAACCCATGATTTTAAGTTCCACTGTGTCATGAAAATACAGCAGAAAATTGGAATCTCAGTGTTTGCAGAGCTAACTCTCCTGCTCTGAACAGCAGGAAATGGGAGAACAAAGTGAAGAGAAGAGAGCAGGAGGCAGGTAAAACATTACATACAGTGGGTCAAACGACAGCATGTAAATGGATGAAAAAATATGGCATGTTTCACTTATTTCCTCAACCTTCTAGACCTTTTTCAGTTTGTCAAGGAGCTCTGCAAAGTTACTCATCTTGCACAGTAATATTACATAGTAGAAGCAAAGCTAGTTAGTGAAATTTTTAGCAGTTGATAACAACCTCTCCCTTTAGGTATGAATGTGCCATTGACTGTTGTAGGGTAGCACTGCCAAAGTGGGACAATAAATACATGCAAGAAGCTTGGCTGGGGGTGCCAAATAATTTTGTATAAATATTTGGTGCTGTTAATTGTACTTTGCAAACATTGTTTTGATGTGGCTTTTAGAATGCTTAAGTATCATAAAAAACAATGCAATGTGTTTGTGATCTAGAATTATCTACAACAGCACGGGTTCCAGCTATGTGAGCATGAACTTTGTTTTTACATAGACACATGGAAGCAAAGCAGGTGAAGCCAGACTAGAATGGGAATAGGAGCTATGTGTTGATGGTGATAGTTAATGGGAGAGTTATTAATGTCTTTTCCCAGGCTGATCTTGAATGGATCTGTTCTGGTATTGTGATATAGGCATGACACTATTAGGAATTTTTTTTGCAGATGATACATAAAACTACTCTTTATAACAGAATGCTCTCTGTGGAGAATGGCAGGATGGATCTCTGTGAATTTTAAAATGTTTGTCCAGTAATTAATATTTTTTGCCACTTTGGTTTTTTAACTTTCAGTAAGTCCTTTCCATTATTTAATCGATGTGTTCCACAAAATCCCGAATGCTATTCCAAATATGCATCTGTCCTAATAAATATGGTCAATGAAATGGATGTTTTTCACCGAATTCTGAGTGGAATATTGGCAGGAAGAGATACTGTGATAGGACTGAGTGTCCTTGCACTAGGTAAGGTTCTAAGTAAAAAGTGAATAATTATATTCAATTAAAAGGTTAAAATGTTTCTTATAAGTCTATATGTTTAATTCAAAAGTGGACTTTTTTCATATTTTCTGGGCAGAGTTATTTTTAAGGAAGAATTATGAGGTTTTATCTGGAAGCATTTAAAAGACTGGTGAAATGCAGATCCCTATCAGATTCTGTGTTCCATGACATGGTCATATACCTCATTTTGGGGGACTGTAAGAAATTGTTGATGAAAAAAAGGACATCAGCATGAATACTTGAACTTAACTATTACATAAAAAGGTAGTATTTCCTGTGGTGAAATATATCAGCTCTAAGTTCCTTTTTATTTAAGGTAGAGGAAACTGTGTGCTTTGAATGTTAAAAAGGTTGCCAGCTTTACTAAATGCTGTTGCTTTTAAGATTACTGTTTAAAAATAAAAGCCAAAATTCTACAAGAAACTTAAATTTATATTTAAAATGAAAAGGATTGCAACACTCAAACTTACTTTATATATTTTTCAGCCTTCTCTTTGATGCTGGTTATAGCCTTCAGATACATTCAGACCCTCCTCATTCATACTCTGATTGCACTGGTTGTATTTGGGTTGTTGTGTAAGTATATTTACTGTACTGTTTCACTGTACTGAAGCAGCTGAACAAAAAGTATCCTTTATTTCCATGGCCATCCTCAGTAACCTTCAGCTCACCACAGTCATTTCCAAGCTGAGGCCTGCTTGCCTTTTGGTGCCAAGGTCTGGCTGTGCTGTTCCAGCTGCCGAGTGTTAGGATGATGGTGATGTTTATTGTTTTTATAGATGCCTAGAAACAACATTTCTTTTGGCAGATGAATGCAGTTATGAAAATGCTACTGTTTCAAAGAATGCTTAGTGAACTCTTACACTGTCTGCTTTAGGAAGGGAGAAGCAAAGGAATTTGTCTGGCTAAACCTTGTCATTCCATGAAAGTCAGCTTTGTGTCTCCACAATGACATTACCTGCCTGAGCCTTAGGATATCTGCAAGAAATTCAAATGTTCTGCTGTGGTTTTACCTGAGACTGACAGGCCATTGTTGGAAGTTTCTCTGTGATCACTGGTCCTGTGCCTCACTTTTCTAACTGACAGTATTCCTGAGCTGAGTGTGGGGTAATGGGGAGGGCAGGACACTGGGAAGGGAGGCCAGGCAGGCACCAGCCTGCCAGCAAGAGCATGTCCTGCCTGCCCTCATGATGCTCTGGTCTCTCAGTTGTCTCAGGTGTTCTCTGGTGGCTCCATTATGACTACAGGAATGACCCCAGCACTGAACTGGAAACAGAAAAGGAAAATGTAAAGTTCCTACTTGGATATGCCATCTTCTCAACAATAGTTACTGTGAGTAGTATTTTGCCCTAAGCAATGGCAGAGGTTGTAACTTGATAACTTGAATTACAGTGCTTCTGCAGCAATAAAAATAATTCCTTCTTCTTTTCAAAATGTCAAGTGAGAATAAATTCAAAGATCTTCCTACACTGACTTCAATATAATCATAAAATCATAGAATGGTTTGGATTGGAAGGGACCTTAAAAATCTCTAGTTCCAACTAGATTTTTAGACCCCCATCAAAACTACAAAAATAGTTTTGTATCTTTGTTGTGAAACTTGTTTGTCAGCCTTGCCATACTTCAAACCACTACAGTGTTAGTGTTGTTGGTGTAAAAAGGCAAGAATTGTGTTCCATCCCCATTTTGTTCTGCATCAGCTCACTGGACAATCATGTACATTTATGTTTGCTATAAACAAAACAGACTGTTTCCATTAGATGAATTAAAGTCTTATTAATCCTATTTTATTCTAAAAAACAGCAGCAACTATTGCAGGAAGCCAGGTTTTAATCCACAGGCTCTTTGAGAACATAGGCAATGTCTCAGAAGGATTTTCTAATGTGTAGTAAGATTGTATAAATTGCTTTGCTGTCATGTCTTTGTGAAATCTATATCCTCTGATCCCACATTTGACAACTCTGATAATTTTCTTGAGATAAAACCCCCAACAATTTGTCTTTTATTTCCTGAAACAGGTTGTTCTGCTCTCCCTTATATTTGTACTAAGAAAGAGGCTTCAGTTCACTGTACAGCTCTTTCGAATTGTTGGTAAAATCATTGGCAGAATTCCTTTCCTCCTCTTCCAACCACTCTGGACCTTTCTGGTTCTTATTGTGTTCTGGGTATTTTGGGTTGCTGTACTGCTCAGTTTAGGAACTGCAGGTAAGTATATGCTTTTCATATTTTTGACTGAGTGCTATCTATTTCCTAAGTTCTTTTCTTAAATGTGGGACCTCTTGGTGTTGGTGTACACAATCTGGGCTAGCATTGTTACACAGCTGAATTACTTGCTTTTATTTTATTTTATTTCCCACCTGTTGGTGTCTTTTACATTGGCCTTTTGCTTCCGTATGTGGCCTTGAGTTTTGTTCTTTCTCATTTATTTGTTAAGAGATGGTTGTAGGTGCAGTATATGTTTGATGTACTTAAATAAAGAAAGTAATTGGAAGGAGGAGACAGCTTTTATGGCAATTGTTACAAAATGAGGGTGTTCATCTCCTCTGACTATAAACAATGTTGAATTGTCACAGAGGCAGAACATTGCTTTGGAGCAGTAGTTCAGTGACAATTGCTATCATTTGGACTAGTGAAACAGTATTTGGACTAATCCAGTGGTTCTTGCAGTTGCAGAGGAGGTGCTCTGTGGAAAGAGTCAAGCACAATGGAAGATATGGCAGAACAGATTTTTAGTATGGAAATGGTTACTGAGGGATATACCACTATAAGATTTGTCACTGATTAAACCAGGATAATTTGGATGCTGTCCCTTGGCCCAGCACCGTGAGAGGTTGTCCTTCTGTGGAACATCACTCAAAGAAGTGAAGCTAAACTCTGTATAGCTCTGGGGGCAACTCCTCATGTACACATCAGCCTCTGTCCATGAAAAGCATTAGGATTTGGGGGCAGTTACTTTTTTAATTTTAAATTTCTGGGGCCACTGTTTGGAGCCAATTGCTATCCTTGGGGTCAAAGCTGATGTAGAATTGATGTGGACAGAGATCATTGTTTATGAGTTTTCTCTTTTCAGAAAAAAACTTGGCAGTGATTTCTGTGTGGAAAACCAAATGCTAATTCTTCAAATGTTTGTGTGTTACCGTTTTACTTTGTGTTTCCACCACCACTTGAGACAGTGGCTGCAGTAATTCCTTAGGACAGGCTTACAGGTTCCTGATAGGCCAAGAAAGCCTCCAGCCTTTCCACAGCTGAGCCCATGTGGCAAAGCTGGCTATGTACCCTATCTCTACGGATCAGGTACCTCACTCCTCTTCCATCACAACTGCTTCTACCTCGGATGATTCTGGCTCTTTACAAGGCCTGCTTCACTTCTAACATGAGAAGCTGTCTGAGTCCATGCTGGCATTGCAGATCACCCCCATTCTTAGGCTAGACTGGGATCTGTTTCCCTCCAGCTTTCACTGGAGAGTCGTGCAGATTTGCAAGTCTCTGTTTGTGCTGCCTTGAGTAGCTCGTCTGTCAGGAATGGCTGCTTGAAGCAGCTGCTAAAATGCTTCTCCTGCAAAAGGGTCAGACCTAGCATGGCCAAATGTCTGACCTGCAGTGTCTCTGTGAATTGTTTCTCCTCACTAAATAGTCAAGCCAATGCCCTTTGCTTTAGATGTCATCCATATTCCTTTTCCACACTACTTTGAGCTAGATTTTCTCCATACAAAAGCAGCATTGTGTGCTGGACACAGTTCTGTGTTGTTCATTTTTCTGCAAAATCTTTGTGCCATTTACGTATGGATCAGCCAGGCAGCAGTAATTTTGAAACTGGCCTTGTGGGGTACCTTATCCCTGCTTCAGACCATGCTTTATATAAAGGAGCATCTCCTGAGCTATCAACCAGCTGTTCATTTCATGCACCTGCTTGGATCAGATACAATGTAAGATAAACAATTAACTGTAGTAAATTTAGTAACAGAACAATAGAATTAATTATAACACACCGATTTTCTAAATATATAATTAACAAGAACTACGAGAGCAAATATTACATCCTTGATGTTAAATCAAGCTGACTTGATCTTAATATGCACATGTAAGGATGTAAAGCCTGCCCTTGTTATATCTAAGTTTGGAAAATGCCAGCTGAGTTTGTTGTGTTCAAAAGCTTTTGGAAATGCAGCAGTCATTAGAAAAGTAGAAATATTTTAAAAATATTTTTGTTCTTGTGACAGAAGAAGCTTAATTATAAGAGAAGGATGGGAAACTATTTGGTATTTTCTGGATGCTTTTACAAACTCTGCAGTACAATAGTGACTTGCACATTATATCCAAAAGCAAATTCCACATATATTCACGGGGGAGTAAAACCCAATGAAAACTGCTTTTGAGAGGCTTTTAAAGCTTTTTCCATGTTGAGCCATTTTTCTTCATTGGTTATATTCTGTGTTTCCTGCTAGACATTTTCATTCAACTTTTTTCTTTTTCCTCTGCCTTCTTAGAGAATAGGATTCAAACAGTTTATGATCTGCTGTTACATTCATAGTGCAGCACACAACTCCTGACTTAAAGATATTTTATGTTTTATCTTCTCCCTAACTTAACGGGAATGCTGATATTTCCAGCAAGTGATGCAAACAGTACAATAGAGAGGGCAGCATAAACTGGCTCCACAGCAGACTGATAATAAAGTTTCAATTTTTTAAAGAATCAATTTTTCTCAGATTTAGCATAAGAAGGGAAGGTAATTTCCAGGAACTTAACTGTCAATATAGTACTTTTATGAAAAACCTAATAAAACACAGGTTTTGTCTGAGGTATTCTGGCAGGGTATTTTAGTGCAGATGTCGATCCTTATAAGATCTTCCTGTTAGAAGCATGTTAATGTTTAGAAGAGGACGTGTGCCTTTGATAAATAACCCAGCTCACTTCTCAGTTAAACGCTAAGCGTGAATGCGGGTGGGAAGATGCCGCTCTGTGTTCAGTGATGTCTCTGGGTACGATGGGCTCTGTCTCTCCGGGCTGTGCGGGTGGTGGCAGTTCCGCGGAGCTGTCGCACACCGCGACAGCTGTCCCCGCCGGCCCGAGCCGCCAGGGGGCGCCGCAGCAGCGCCCGAGCCGCCAGGGGGCGCCGCAGGAGCGCCCGAGCCGCCAGGGGGCGCCGCAGGCCGCGGGCAGCGCCTCAGGCCCGGGCGGGCGGGGGGAAGCGGCTCCCGGGGAAGGCGGGAACAAAGGGCGGGCCCTCAGCCCCTCGGTGCTCCGGGAGGATTCACTCAGGGTTGGATCCCGCCCCCAGGCTGAGCAGAGCCGGCAGATCCGTGTCAGCGGCATTGCTGTTTCCATTGGCAGTGCCTTACTCTACCTCAGATGTGTTTTGTAATTCAGCTCTTGGACGACGAAGGCTAAACGAGATTTGGTGTTGAGAACATTCCGTTAGGTTGCATTTCAAGTTTTCAGCCCAAATATGAATCCTGTGAAATGCTATCTGTTCAAGCAGCTCACCATTAGAGAAGTTAGGGGCTGTTCTGCTGTTCTAGGATGACATACCCACACATACTGTAATGACAAATGCATACAGTACTGTACAGTTAATAAAGCACTGACAGGACATCGTTGTATTATTAGTTTTCTACAACTGTCCTGTAAGTCGAAAACATTTATTTTGAGTTTTGGGGACTTTTTGCACCACTTGAGAGACTTCTCTGAAGATCTCCAGAGATGTGCTTTCTCTTACAGAGCAATTTGTTTTCTTCATTGACAAGTAATTGCCTGTCTAGGATTCAACTTGTAAAATACAGGTGGTGATTTTCTTGAGTTTGACACTTGGACGTTTTTCTCACAAATATATTTTCTGGGGCTGTGCAGGCTGTATTTTAAATGCAAATATACCAAGAAAGATGGAGAAATGAAATGTTTACAAAGACACTAGTCTTTTGTCAAATATAGAGAGGTAAATTAAGTTGGCTTGGTGCTGTGCTGCACCTGTTCTTAGCATTTTCTTTGAATCTGCACTAGTTATATAATATTTATGGTGTCTCTGCATCACTTCATCTGTGCCACACCTGATCATTATGCGACCATGCAGACACCTTATTTCCATCTTCTCCAGAACTTAGTGTTACTGGGAGAAAAAACCCTTAACTTCTTGGGAGCAATGGAAAGCTATAGCCTGCACTTGAAAGGTACTTATGCACATGACTAATTTAAAACACATGGATAATCCTATTAAAATCAGTGGGACTACTTATGCATTTTAGGGTAGGCACCTGCCTAAGTACCTTGGTAATTCAGAATCTGTAAGAGCAGCAGAGACTTGAGTGAATTCCAGACCTAGAAAACTAGGAGAAATGCCAAGGCTTCATGAGATTTTAGGTAGCACAAGCAGTGGCACCAGTTAGAACCATTAGCTGGCTAGGAATGGAATTCAGCTGTTCTTTGGAAAAGCTGATATGTCTTAGGGTTATTGAGTTTTATTGTTTGCTAATTTGTGAGTATTTCACTGCAGAACTGAAGTGGCCATATGGCACAGCAGAGCAGGTCTTTCAACTTTCCAGTGTGCAAGAGCTGTGAGGTCCACATGGTGTAAATACTGTGGCTGTAGGGTGAGAAGATGGTGCGATTTTTTTGGGTAATGAAGGTGCATCCTACAGGCAAGTGAGCAGCAGAACTGCCACATAAAGCTGTGCAGCAGGAAAATGAGCAATAAAAAGGTATTTCCTGCAGGGCCTTGACATTCCAAGTACACAGTCAGGTAGCTTACCTGTAAATACCTTTACATGGAAAAAACACTGAATAAGATAACACAATAAATTCTGTTGCAGGAAGCACTGAGATTCAGTGTATGATTCCAGAACCTTTCCTCACTTAGCAGTGGAAGGGGCACAACATATTTTCGTTTTAACAGGAACTGGTAAACAGGCTCTCAGTATTTTCTTGTCAGTGGCTCTTTGTTTGTGATAAGGAAATTTCTGGGCTAGACTTCCCAAGAATTTTTGTCTCTTACAAGGGCTTGTTGCTGCAGGCATCAGCATAACCTCACAGCAGCTGCCGAGTAAGGACATCTGACCTAAGTCTGACAATCCCAAAATGTAGCTGAAGGTACTGCACACACCCAGCCCTGACTGGTGCCTCAGTGCACTGCTGTGCTGGCTGCCAGAGCAGCACTGGGCTTGAGTACCACGGAGAAATTCTCCTGGGTTCTGCTGCAAACACTTGTGCCTGTTCACATTGTTAACATCACTTCTTTTGAAGTATTGGCAGCAGATCAACCCTTGTACTGATTAAAGGCTTCCAGATTTGGTGATTCAGATGTAGGGACTTCAGTTCTTTACCGAGTTGTTAATGTTATCACTAAGAGTGTATGGTACACTCTGAAGATTCATGACTGTGTAGTTGGAGAAAAAATATTCTGATGACAGATTAAACTGTATTTCAGGGCTTTGTTGAAAAGGTTTAGTTTGTATGAATAGATAGATCATAGTACAGTGATGAGGAAAATGGCATTAATTTTCTCTACAGGTTATCTAGGATAGCTTTAAAGTTTATCTGGGATACTGATATAGAGAAATAACCTTGCATGTAGTTCTATTGACAAAATTATGCATGTCTGGTAGGCCCAGAAGACAGGGAATCAGACAGAGATGTTTATAATGTTATACAGATTTTTGTGAAGTAACAAAACTAGTTTACCATACTTGACGAGCAAAGTGATCAAAGGTGAACTCACAGGTGGCTCTGCCTGATTTCTGTGCAGCTGAGCACAGCACTGTGCAAATGTCCAAGTATAAGGTTGTCCAGGAAAGACAAAGCCACTACTGCTGTTACTGAAGGTGGTGGCTTCAGTAGGCTGGTAAAAAGCAAACAGAATTGGCTTGCCGTATGTACATTTATCAGTCTTCATGACAACACTACAGAAACAAAGCCTGAAATGGTCTATTTTGGAAAAAGAAACGTTCAGGTGGACTGTATGGTGGAACATGTCCTTAATTCTGTTACCAAATGTCATGATATCTTTGCATGAGAATGGAGAGGTAGAACACCTTGTTTGCCTATGTTCCCTTAGTGAGGGCTGTAGGCTATGGATAATGAGTCTATTTAGCTAGTTGTGTGTGTTGCAGGAAATGGCAGTCTAGAGCTTCTGGAAGAAATATGGGAAATGAAAAATCTCTTGAATTCAGAATTATATTGTGCCTCATTTATTTTAATGACTTAAGTAAATGATTATATCCTCAAAAACTCTTAAAAAACCCTAACCTTTGCAAACTTGAAACCAGGGAGGCACAGGATGGGGAGGAATGAGGGAGAGTTTGTGAGAAGAGATCTGAGTAGTAGCTTTTTCAAACCATCAAATAACTTGCATTTCACAGACTTAAAATTCATTTGAGTATATTGGAAGCACAACAGTATTTCTATGAATGACAAACCATACAGCACTGGAGAGAGCTTTCCTGTTCAGCCAATGTTGTTAAACTCTCAGAAAAGAAAATATCTAGAACGTATGCCTGTATTTATGTACCCATGTAGCATTTTTTTTGTCCTTCAAAGTACTTTAAAATAGTGTTGCAATACTACTATGGAGTAGATGGATATTTTTCTTAATTTACAGACAAAAAGACCTTGCTTCTGAAAACTTAAAAAAAGCTTGTCTAAACCTGATGGTATTACTGAAACAAATCTTTACTTTTTCTACTTTTAGTTATTCTTGAGTAAGAAGTCTGTGGCTGTAGAAAAACAGGCCAGAAAGGAACCATTTCCAGATAGCTTTTTATATGTGGTAGTTTTGAACTTGAAGGTGGTGTGTTGTTCTGTATGAGAACACAGAGTCATAGAATCATTTAATTTGGAAAAAACCTTTAAGATCATCAAGTCCAGCTGTAAACCTAACACTGCCAAGTCCATCAAATGAATACATGAAGTATTAAAGCTTAAGTTTTATTGCTGTTTGAGCAGTAATAGCCAAATCTGTCTCACTTTGTTATTTCTTTCATGGAGTTGGAATAAGAAACGACTCACCTCCAGAAATTGTTTTATTTGGTGAATATGTTTCTATTTACGGTTAATAGACTTAAGGCTTGGTAAAATAATATTCATTTTTTAATAGCATGTTAGGAATCTAGAGACCTTTTACTAGGACCAAATGGTCCTAATGCCATTATCCCCTGACTAACCTTCAGAGTCAAGTGCCACAAATAGGATTGCACAGAGAAAGGTCTGATTGTTGAGGAATCTGAATTGCCCCCACCTTTTGTGTAAAGCCATCCATGAATACGGAATAAATCCTTTGTTACTCATAGAAGTGGAAGGAATGTTTTTAGCTTGAATAAGTTATTTTTTCTGTGTTCCTAGATACAGTAGTAACATTGGAGCATGTACTGCCATACACATATCTGCTTTTTTCCCCCCACAGAGCCTACATTTATGTGCCTGTGTTTTGCACAAAGATTGCAAAGCATAGAGAACAGAAAACTGATGGCCATGGTTCTAATTAGTAATAGCAATTAAAATATTTGTTTTGTTTTGTTGCAACAGTATTATGGATCCTTAATATTTTTCTGCAGTCTTTCTCTTCTGTTTCTTACAAAAAACTCCTAAAGCATTTCATAACTATGCATTTATTTCAAATTTTAATAATGAAAATTAGGATTTCATTTACTTCTGAACTATTTGATTACTCAAGTTTTAAGTAATGTCTTCTCAGATATCTTTACTAATATGTAGCTTTCCTCTTTCCTTTAATGGTACCTGTGTCTCAATCCCAATTTAAACACAATCTTTTGTTTTTCGTGAGATTTTATTTTTCAAAATCCAATTTGAATTATAAAATGTCGTTTCTCTAACTTTGCTAGAACAGACAGAATTAAATAGCATCAAAATTTTTTTTGGTGACTTTATTGAAGAGAAGTTAAGACAACATGCACAGAAGCACTTCCATGTACTTCTTTGTCTTTGTCCCTCCTTCCCCCTTTCCCCTCTGTCTGGCATGTTATAATAACACAATGGTGTCATCCCAACTTCAGGTACTGCACACTCCACTTCGGGAGGACAAGTAGAATACAGAGCTCTGTCTGGAATTTGCTACATGGCATGGTATCATTTCGTTGGCCTTATCTGGACTAGTGAATTCATTCTTGCCTGTCAGCAAATGGTGATTGCTGGGGCAGTGGTTACTTGTTATTTCAACAGGTGAGTGCAGAATTGCCCCTCGATTGTTTTGGGCATATTCCAGCATTTACTTTCAATCTATTTCTAGGAAAAATAGTCTCAATTAAACTGTAATTTATGTCAATATTGGTAATCCAATTTACTATAAAATAATGTTGCTTGTTGCAAGATCTTGAGTAAGATTTTACAATGTGCAGGATATTAATGTGTCTTACCCCTGCTGCTGGAGATACTGGGCCAAACTGGGCCTTGATATAAGCCATTAGAGCTCTGTTGATTCGGGGGAATTACCATTCAGAAGGCATAGGCTGCATTGCACCCTTTGCCAGGAGACTGTATTAGCTCCAAATGAAAAGCAATATATTGTACCTTGGTAATTTCATGTATCCGTGGGCAGTTTGACTTCTTTTTAAGTGTTCATCCCTACTCTGGGTTTCCATTTGTTCTGCCTGCATAACTGCTGGTCTAATACTTTTTTATATTATTATTATGTGTAGATATTTTCAGTTAACTATAAATGCTTTAACACACTGTAAAGTGTTTAAACACGTGTGAACAAACTTCCTTGGATATTATATACCCTGGAATATAAATGTGGAGGAAATGAGGAAAAGTAAAATTAAATTAAATTTGGTTTATGCACTCATTGAAGGGGAAGATTTAAATCTCACAAGATGTTGCTGAGTTTTTGACAATGAAGAGAGCATTTTCTTGATAAAATTTTTCTTTGTATTTTATGGGCTATCTCATTCTCAGTGCTGTTATTCTATGGTCAGTGACGAGATTTTCTGATCTGTGAAAAACTGTCATTTTAAGGCATTTCTTCATTTTGTGTTAGAGAAATATCATGGTAAACTCAATTTTTTGAAAAATTAACCCTTGAAGAAGGTGATGTGAGATTGAGGTGGGGAGCCTGGGCCCTTAGAGTGCTGGTGGTGGCTGCCCAGGGCCATATAGCTTGGACTGCTGGGAAGGATGGCTTTGGCCTTCTCTGAAACTTAGGGAGCAGGGTTCTGTGGATGGCTTCCAGAATGTGTCCTTGGGTGCTTCAGCCACTGATCAAGAGGCTGCTGCTGCAAGGCCTCCAAATAATGTGTTCCCCACTGCCCTGCAGAGACACCAATGCAGGCTCTGCTTGTGGGACTGCTCCATAGGGTTTTCCCTAGCAGCTGATGGAGCCAGAGGAATGCTGGAAGATCTAGGAACAGCAAGTCCCATCCTTGGTTTAAGCAATGTTTTATTATCCCATCCAAAAAGCCAAGGCAGGACAAGGTTTAACACGTGTATCAGGAGTGTGTCCTTGAGAGGATTAACTATCCAACAGCTGTGCCACTGAACCGATGCTTAGGAAAGAGCAAATAAAACCTAAAATGTTGCTTTTTAAAAGGTCGAAGTATTTTTGAAAGAGTCACATAGTATCACCCTTACATTTTACATGCTATAATAGGACCTGAAAAGGGAGGAACTCTCCTTTCTGATGTCATCTCCTTTTTTCCTACTGAAGCTCTGGAACTCCCACGGCTGTGCTGCTGTGGATAGTGAACTGCTCTTCTCTTGTAAGCACATTGATGTACCTCAGTTTTAGCAGCTGAATGCTGAGGCACTAAAGGTTCATATAAATTGGCTTGAGAAAGTACAGAAAAGTAAAATAGTTCTGCTGAGTTCCTGCGCTATATGCTGTGGTGCATTTTGGTGCCGTACACCACATAAATCCCCAAAGCAGAGGCACTGTCCATATCTTGTTCATGCAGAGCAGGGAAGCACCTGTGGAAACTGCTGTGATGACATTTACTGCTCTGCTAGGGCCTTCCGCTTTTCAGCTATTTTTTACTGCTGCAGGAACTGGCTGCCAAGTACAGAAGGTTCCTGCTCCCAGTTGTATTGGTATCATTTTGTACAATACCATTGAGCTCTCCTCTTGCTTGCCAGGTGACCTGTACTGTGTTGAGAGTTGTGCTTGCAAGGGGAAATGCAACTTTTCTGTGGTGGTGATCCCTTGTCCTGGCCTTTAGGCTGTCAGCACAGATCCATAGAGATGCAGAGGAGTACAGGAATGGGGAGAGGGTGGTTAGCTGCAGGAGCAGCCACACCAGCAAGGGCAAGGGTTATCTTGAGCTGTTCCAGCAACTGCGTTTGTCTGCTGTGTGTTTTTAATGTATTCCCTGGGGCAGCATCATAAAGGCATGTCACAAGGGTTTGTTTATGGGATCTTACAGACAGGCTTTCTTCTTGCTCTGTAAGTGCTCCGAGGAAATGGCACAGCCTTCCCATGCGGAAATCTCCTTCCACAGCATTCTCAGCAGGGCGCTGCACGGCCAACAACCACAGCTCAGTTGCAAATGGGGAGGGCGGGGATCATTTTACCTGGATTAGCTTTACAGGTTACATATATTTGGCCTGTAATACCACGACTGAAAATGGATTTTGCCTTTTTTAAAATTTTAGATGAAACATGAATACACAAAAGATTTCATGAATTTAATAAAAATATAATTTTTTGCTTAATGATTATATTTTACAGCTTGTGAAAAGGACTCAGTCTTTTAAAAAACCTTCTTTGTTACACTTGCTGTTTTACACGAGGGTTTATTCTCACCTCGATGTCCCTAGGTGTTATGTATCTATTTACCTTTGCAGGGAGATAAGCCTTTCCCCCTCTTTTGGGGTAAAGGCAGGTGACCTGGTAACTTGATCCATGTCACAGGCGTCACTGTCCTGTCCGTGTCTGAGCTTCTTTAGTAACTCCAGTGCACATATATCACTGCACAGATTTGAAATTAAGGATTTGGGTTATCTACCTGTCTAAGGTGTTCAGTACCACAATTTCCAAGAGAAGTGAAATACAGATCTCTCCCAGTAAGTCAAAAATGAAGGTTCATGGATGTGCACCGAAGTCATTGAGAGGTGAACTAGAAAAGCTTTTAAAGGCTTCCTCTTCAAATATATCTGCAATATTTATGGACATCCTTTGCCCTACTTACGTACTTGACCTAAAAGAGCTACCAGCATGTATGTAGTCAGACCTATCCCATGTGGCTTTGAGATAAGGTAAAAGGGCAGTTGGAAGTACAGCCTGTGTGGTCTCTGTTAGTCCCATAATGGCTGTTTTATTACAAATCTTGTAATTTATTGTGTTTGTTTAAAAATTGAGATTCATATTTACTTGAAGAATAGAGGATTCATTCCCTAACATTTCTGACGTATTTTATACTAAAGTTATTTTTAGACAATCTTTGAAATTGGTGAGTCATGAGTGAAGAAAACTGTAAGCATAGCTCTTAAGAGAAGAAGATTTTAATGAAATGAGTACCCTTTTCTCCCATTGAAATATCTGTTACTGTTGGGTGTGTCAAGATGATGTTTTTTTCTTCTCACAAAAAAAGTTTTCTAAAATGAAAGATGCACGTGTGATCATTTGATTCAAGGAACTTAGTGTTAAAAAAAGATACTGAGTGTCACAGAGCTCAAAGTAAATGGAGGCAATTGACAGTAGTGAAGAAATAAAATTATTAAAGGATAATGTGGTATTGAATACAGGTCCACAGGAGTTTGGAATAGCAGTGTTGTATGTAACATAAAACAGAAATATCAAGGAGGAAAAGCAAGCTGTGGCTCTATTCAGCCTTGTAACTGTTGAAGCAGATTCCCAGATTTCCCTGATACCTTGTGCACATGCAGCGGCGTTCACGTGCACAGAATGCCCGGCATAATGACTGTTTGTGCTAAAGCCATTCAGGATTGCAGCCATATAATGCACAAAGGTGGGTGAAACTTCAGCCTTGACAGCAATGGGAGTCGGTGGATAATCGAGCCTATCTTGACCTCGTTTAGCGTCATAACCATCACCTGTTGTTGTGTTTAGCCTCTTTCCTTTTTCCTACTCTGAACCACAATTAGAAGGAAAATCTGTTCTTTTCCTGATTTGTTTGGAGGCAAAGCAAAATTCTTCTCAGACCCTATTCTTGTGCTAATTCCTTTGCTAGGAGAAGAAGGTGTGGAAAAACATCCAAACAAGTAAAAAAATTATCTAAACTAAGCTTTAAATTTTGACATTCCTGCTCGTTATTTAGTCATGTTAAAAATATCAAAACCTTTATTCATTTTTCTCTTCAGTAACAAGGACATTATTAACACAAGAATAAACTTTCTCCTTTCTGTGTTTCTTATCACTAGTTAACATTTAACTTGCTGAAACTTAATAATTTATTTTCTGAGATCAAACTGACACTGTCATATATAAGGAAGGGTTTCAGGGAGAAAAAAAACAATGGCTCAATATGAATAGAATAATTCATCCACACTACAATGTTATGTGTTTCTAACACAGAAACCTCATGACTCTAAAAAAACCCCAAACTGCCTTAGTCAGTGAAATTCCACTATCCCCCAAGCTGTTCTCCTGATTATAAGACAGAAGTAATAAATGTAGCAACTGCTTTGCTGGGATTTCGTATTTCAGATAATATGGTATATTCACATATTTAAATAAAACTTCACAATTGCAAAGATTTTTGTGTTTTGGATGAGCTGCAGTGATGCCTTCAGGATTCTTGCAGAATTGTGATCCCTCTCTTGAATATAGTGTGTATGATTTAAATCCTTGCTGAAGTGAGGATTTAATAAAAATATATTTTTAGAGCTTCTTAGCCCAAACCAGTCACTCTCTTATTGGTGCCTTTTTAAAAAAAATCAATTGTGCAAACTACTGATTTTTCAAGATAACAGAGGTTTTGAAGAAATCAGTTCTGAAAGCAAGGCTTCTTATTTGTGACGTTAGGTCTGATCCTTACGTAGCTACTTAGTCAAACTGTTACTGGTTCTGTTGCCTAACTAAATATTTCAGGGTAGGACAGTTGCTTAAAAGTTACTTTATGAAAGATCTAATTATGACTATTGATCAGTATGGGTTTTTTTTAATACTATGAAACATTTTTAAAGGTACTTAGTTAATCTAGTTGATTTTTTTTACAGTATTTGACAAGGGGTAAGGGAGTGTCTTTAAGTTGATTTCCTGAGGTTTGTATAAATTTTTAAGAGCTGTGTCATATTACTGTCTGTAAATGACTGACATTAAACTGATATTTATAAAGGAAGCAAAATAATAAAACTTGTATTTAGGCCATTTTTGTCTTTGCTTTCTGAATTTGGCAGAGACATTATTTTCCAAAACAATACAGGTTAGTGTGCACTAGAGCTACAGTTTTTAAGTTCAGATTATTATTCTAAATATATAGTATGATATTCCTTCTTGGCTATATTTCATTTTAAAAGAAAGCCCGCTCTGTGGGGGAAAAAAAAGCATTAATCATTTTAACAAAATTTAAAACCAAATTTGGTCAAATTGCAATTGTAAAAGTAAATAGTAGCTCTCAATTTTACATGAGAGAATGAGAGAACTTATGGTTCTATTTTCTAGTTTTAATTTTACCACTAAAGAAGAAATAGTGGGTTCATTCCCTAAGATTAAAATCTTGCAGAACCAAGGGTCAAATAAAAGATTGCAGAGAATAAGAGAAGTGACAGAAACTAAAGAGAGGTGTTCAAGGAATGTTCTCAGATATTGTTCACTTCTGTTTTCCGTTGGAGTTTTTTTCCTAGGTATTTTTCCATTCCAGGAAAGAGTAATTGCTTAAGAATTAAACTATCCCAGAAGTTTTAAATTTGTCTGCTTTTCTTTGGACTAAGGTGAATATTCAAATGAAGTCAGTAGAAGAACTGGAGTAGTTCAATTAGGAAAGGAGATAACAGCTTAATTCTTAAAATATCCACTGAAAGGACACAATGCTTATCTTCTTAAATAAGTTGCTAAGCCATTTTTTAAATTGTTTTTCTTTCTAGAAATAAAAATAACCCACCACCTCACCCAGTCCTGTCTTCCATATCAGTTCTTTTCTGCTACCATCTAGGAACTGCTGTAAAAGGTTCATTTATAATCACAATACTGAGAATACCAAGGATTGTTCTCTCGTACCTTTACAATATCCTAAACCACAAGGTAGGTAAATGCTTCTGTAACACTATAAAAATAGTAGTTTAAAGATGAGATCGGGGCAAAGAAGTGAAGAATATATTTTTTGCTTAAAAGTAGATGATATTGCTATTAATATCTATTATTGATAGACGGATTTCATATTTTATCATGTTTTCTTCATTAGGATATATTTTTCCTCCCAACTCAGATATCAATGCTTCGTTTTTTTTCTCAAGTCCGATATTTTTAAAAGCAGAAAATACCAGTACTAAACTCACCTTTATTTAGTGTTTTTATATACAGGTTTATGTGAAGGATGAAGAAAAAAAAAATTGGCAGGCTGCTCTATTAAAAATTTTTGCATCACAAGTATTTAAGAAGCAAAAGTAAGAATACTAGTCTTAGATTTAAGATCTGTTCTAGAAAATACTTCATCATTGTAATATGCTTTTATAGAAAGAATATATGGAATAAGAACTGTTCCTGGGAGTTGTGTAGTATCCAAGACATCTTTTAAGATACAAAAACCATAGATCTGGGCTGGTTTTAACATTTTTTGCCTTCTTTTTAGCTTTCATGCATCTCCATATCTATTATCTTCTGCCTAAGCACACCACTGTAGATAATTCTGGCATTTTTGCAAGAAGGGAGGACTGTTAGGAATGGACAGCTCTGATTTTAGGAGAAAATTTAAGAAGAGGTTTTAAATGTAGGTCTTTTTCTGTAGGGTTTACATTGGCCTTGAAGCACGTTATGTATAGTTATGACAGGGTATTTACATTGATCATAACTATGAGGCATGTGTTGGGTATAGGTTATGAATACTTAAATAAAATCCCCTTGTAATAAAACACTTGAAAGGTGTTGTTTGGATTTATGTTGCTTTCATATGATAGTTTTGGTTATAAAACTTGGTGAGTTGTGTTAGCTTACAACATTGTATAAAGACAGTAGGTGGGATGACTTAAAATATTTTCTGCCTTTAGAGAAAGCAGGATAAGTGGGCCTGCTTGTTACATGGTTTTGTAATCTGAATGACTGTAGATTTAATTAGCAAAGAAAGATTATTTGTGTCTACAGCACTGTGCTGCAGGCTCCTTTTGGTCAAGTTCCCAAGTATTCAGTGACATGACCCACAGCTGTAACTGCTGCTAAAGAGACTAAAAAGTGCTGTGGGCAGCTCATGTCCTCAGTCCTTGGAAGGATCCCTCCCAAGAGTAACCTTGCTCCTTTGCATGGCAGAAAGGACAGGCCATGGCCCCTTTCACTGAGGGCCAGAGTCGTGGGACTGAAGGATGGAGAAGTGACACTGCATTCTTGCAGAGCTCGCCCAGATTTCCCCACCCTTCCAAAAAATGTTGCTGTTCTCTATGAACAGAGGAGAAGTCAGGGGCCTGCAAGCTTGCAGGTAAATTTACAAATGTTTTCTACACAGCAGTCTTCAAGTAGAATCAGGGAGGAGATTGTAGGTGAAATCTTTTGGTCTAGACTTCTAACAAACAGCTCTTACTGAGATAACATAGCTTTAGTAAAATCATCTCTCCAGCAATACATAGCAAGAGTAAATTTTTCTCTGTCAGGTGTTTGCATGCACAGTGACCGTTTTGAAGGAGTTATTCCTGGAATATTTTCATGAACTTTTTGGAAAATTTTGAGAGGTTTGTGGTTTCTGCTTGAACAATAGTAGTTGTTGGGACTTGAGTTTTCCGTAGTGACTAGAAGATCTCTGCTTTCCAAAATAAGATAAAACATTCTAACCTCTGGAAAAATAAAAGGACCAAGTATCCCTGAACTGAATTTCCATTTGTTGAGTAAAACAGCCACTTAAATTTGGAAGGCTACTGTGGATACCAAGTTGTCTTATTCTAGTCTTGCATCATCTTTGTGATGAGCTGTTCTGAGCTCGTGATGGGGGAGCACAGAGCAAACCTTAAGCTTTACTGCTCAGTTTTTTGCTATGAAACTAATACAGCTCAATGGTTTATAAATAGCCTGTTCTAATACAAGATTTTTCTTCCTGACCTGAAAAATTAATGTAATGTTCTGAGTCAAAACACATATATGTTCATACAAGCCTGTCTATGCATTATTTTATTTTTGTTCATTAGGGTACTGGTCATTTCAGAACTGTGAAAGGTTTTTGATAATCAGGTTTAAAATCTGTCTCTCTGCTTCCTGATCACTGTGAAGTGCTTTAAGTGCTTTTTGCCTGCCTGTTTTTCTCCCTGGGCAGCTGTTAGCTCACAAAGCTGCTTGCAGCAATTATTTTCTTTTCCCAGAGAAGAATCTTCCATCCACAGGAAGAAAGAAAAAAATGCACACATCTTCAGTCATTAATATTGAAGTGGCTGAATTAAAAACAATTCCTAAAATCGTAATGGAACTATCTGCTGCCTAAGTGAAAATTCTGTTAGAAGAGTCAGTCACCTATAAAGCAAGTTTTTTTTTAGAATGGTGGTTTTGTTTGAGGCTAATTATGTGTCCAGTAACCAATAATTTCATTTTATTGCAGGAGAATGCAAAGCACCTGTTCAACTGCTGTTTCTGCTGGGTTTGCTTTCAGAAAAGTTGCTTAAGATGCTTTAACCAGGTATGCTCTGTCATCTCTGTCCCTCAGCCTAGTCTGGATACCATGGTTGGTGCCTGACTTTAGCATGGCTGAAAAGCCACTGCCAGTGCATGCAGGCCAAAGTTTCCTGCTGGCCACATAAATGAAATAAACAAAAAAGCCTCCAAGTGTAGATGAAACTTGGTGCAAAGAAATGGGGATTTATGCAAGGTGCTAGATTTTAGAAAACTTGTTAATACAGGTTGAGATAGTCAGCCCTTTCAGAGGGCTACTTGCTATTTCTGTAGGTAACATTTTGTTGAGTTGTGCCAGACAGACTCCTGAAATAGAAAGAGTCTAGGTAGGAGGAAGAAATTAAGATTTAGGAAACATACCTGGAGATGTGACATAAAACTAGTTACAGTGTTTTCCACCTGAAAGTCCTGAATAAAGAAACTTAAATTCCTACTGATTGCCAGTATCAGTAGATCTGGAAATACAAACCAGGATGATAGCAGTCTTGTTTAAAAGATGTTTTAATTGAAAATGGATGATTTCTAACACACAGAAGTTTTACAGATACTTGACACCTCTTTTTACTTTCATAATTCTTTTCTCCAAATGTGTTCCAGATTTACATATATAGTTGTAGACAGTTTTTGTCTTTGTCATTGCCTTGTTTTTATCTCTGGGGACTGTGATATTCTTAATATGAAGGAGAATCATATGTTCATGCTGATTCCACTGACTGCTAAGTTCTTTACTCTCATTGATGAGTGTAGTAGTGAAGTAAAACAAGACAATTCTGATAAAGAGTCTGACTTCTCCTCTTAAGTAGGTGCATAAATTAGGTTTAATCTTGGACAGTTATGAAGAGAAAGTTTTTAATTAAGTTCACCCTAGATTAAATACTTGTGCAGTGAAATCTCCGAATTTTCCAGGCAGGTCTTATAGTCAGTGACTTGGTGAGGAATACCAGAGTTCATTTTGCCTCCAGGCTTTCCATTTGTAGTCACCCTTTCCCCTTGCCTTGGCTTCCTGCCTTTCAAAGAGATATCCAGCATACTAGTGTTTACTTTCTCCAGCTGTTGTCTGCTATGTGTTTGTTAAAAGAATTAATTACTGTAATGTTCTTCCTTTTGTTTCAGAAGGCTGTATTGTAGCTCTTGTTCCCTTAAAAGATTTCCTGTTTCCTAATCTATTGTTGGCAAATTTCTGCTTTCATATGAGTTGTGGTTTTTAATCTAATGATCATAATAAAGTGTTTGCTTTTGTTTTGTTTTTTTGAATATCTTTTTAGCAAAGGTGATGGTGGTCCACATGTTCCAAATCCAGGGCAATTTGGGCAACAGTTAGAGAAGAAAAAAAGCAAGAATAGACCACAAGATTTTAATAGGACTTTTATCTGTATGAAATTTAGACTTTGGTCTTGGATTATTGCATCTCAGAGAGTTATTAATGGGTCTATTTATTTATTTCTTTTTTTTCCCTTATAACTAATCTGTTCAAGGCTATTTCTTAAAAAATTCTTTTTGACTATGATTGAAAGTCTTAGTCTTTGATTCTGTAAAATCTGTGGCTAAATGTAAAAGAGACAAGAAAAAAAGAAGGAAAAAATGTCTGCAGTTTTAACTTAACAGAAGTAGTGAACTCTTGAGAGCTCCTGCTGAGATTGGTGGAAGCTGCTGGAAACAACCTAGAAATTTCCCACTGATGTTGAACATGGACCTGAGAGTAGGCCTTGGGAGGGAGGGGTTAAAAAATTGTACCTGTGTTTCTAACATTTTCTTAAAGAAGTATTCTTTAAGTTCAGATGTTGATTTTTTGTAACCTAAAATGTGGAACAGCTGTTGTAAAAGTTGGTCCAAAGATCATTGTGTACATTAGCATTCCTTACTATTTACTATTCTTTTGCTTTTTATTCTAGTATTACTTTCCTTATAATGAAAAGCATATAATTACCTGAAGCTCTTAAAAAAAAAATCCAATCACTTCTGCATCATTTTTTTCAACTTGTTGTTAAACTGCTTAAGTAATTTAAATTCTTTCTGTTCCTTCATTCACAAGTTTAATCAGGATTAAACAGAGTACTTTGTTTTCATTCTGAGAAGTTGAGATGAGATGAGAAACAGGTGCTGGAGGAAGTAACCCAGGTGACAGAATGCAAACTTCTTTCTTCCCATGCAGAATAGACCAAGTGCTCTATTATGTTATCTAAGAGTACTTTTCAGGCTGCAGTACCATCCTGCAAGTGGGATTTAATACTGACTTTAATAGTTGCATGCATCCCTGAAATGACTCATTCTCTGCAGGCTCAGTTAAGTTTTGTTGAGCTCTCCTGGAAGTTAACTGGAACAAGCCAAAGAGTTAAGCTGTCATCTTCCCATCATGACAGAGTGCTGTGCTAGATGCTGGCAATTGTCATACTTGCAGGGGTAATGTAAGCCCAGTGTCCTGTGCAGATTGCAATATGGACAATTACATTCAGCCTTCCTAAATTTCTCTTGGATTTGCAACTGGATCCTGTGTTAAACTGTGGTGTAGTGTTGCTATGTGCTGTTAAACAGTTCACTCCTTAAGCTGTTCCACTTCAGTCATGGGCAAAGTGATTCATGTGTGTGTATAATCCATTAGCAACAATTGTAAAGCACTCTGGGTTCTGTGGCTGAAAAGTGCTTTCTGAATATAAAGTCACTGTCCTTACTTGACAGTTCTGTTTGCCAACACTTGTCAGAATTACCACAGATTTTTCATCTGGCTCTGATGGTTTCAGTATGTTCCAGATAAACATATCCAATCATCTCCAGTAGAATCTAGGAGATTGAATTTTTTCTTCTGTAAAAAGAATATACTGGTTTTTAATGTGGTTTGGGAATTACAAAGTCTGTGTCTCTCCTGCTTTCTTAAGTTGTAATGGCAGTCTTAACTTTAGATACATCAAAGTGCTCACATGTTCTCCCTTTATAGCTTTATTACAGTCACTTTTTAAAAAACAATACAGCTGGGTAGTTTTGCCTTTCTGAGTTGGCTTTGGGTCCATCTGCAGCCAGTTGGCAAAGTGACCCCTCCAAAGTTTATGCCTGGGTTTCTAAAGGGGTTGCTGAGCTGGATTTCTATCTTCATCAGCATGGTTGCTGCAGTGTAGCCTTCTGGGCTACACTGAATTCAGCAGGGTGTGAGCCTCATTTCCTAGGACAGAGCCCCTTCCCTGAGACTGAAAGTCAACAATTGTCTAGTGTAATAAACCCAAACCAAGTCTGTCTCATGGCTGCATATCCGTGGCAGTTGGTTGTCCCTTAAACTTTGGATGGCAGCCTATCAGGAGGTTTCAGTTAAATGTCTTGTGCAGAATTCACCAAGATAAAACCAAAATTCATGCATGCTATTGTAAAGCACATTTCTCTGCATGCCAAACACATTGTGCCTCACCCCATCAAGTACTTCTTTTTCCTCCCAAAAACAATACTGCCTTTTAATGTTACTGGCAATATTGCTTCTAGATATGGAGCTAATTTTTCAGTCCTCTTGAAAATACAAGGATAAAATGTTCTTCTGCAGTGAAATAATATTTTAAATATGTTTCTTTTCCCTCTACAGACTTTATGTGTGTGATAATAAGAAATAAAATTAGGTCTTTACTTGTTCTGTAGGATGAACCATGTAGGGAATAGAGTTGAACAAAGCTGACTAATTCTTACTTTGATATCTTTCTCTTCTTCCCTATCCCATTAAGAAGAAACAAAAAGGGAAAAAAAAGAGAGAAAACAAAAGGCAGTTAAGCAAGTGACTGGTAATTCTGTGCTTTTAAGCAGAGAAATTTATGAACAACTCTCTGGAAATCTTCAGTTTGATTTATTTCAGAAATCCCAAACAAGAACATTTCCTCACTAAGTGCAGAAACACTGAAAGCAACCCCAGTAGTGATGTAATCATGATGCAATGGGCACATAAAGCAGGATCATTTTAATCCAACCCTGTCAAGGAAATGGAGCCCCACATATAACAGTGTGATGCAGCAGGAAAGGACACCTGACTACCCTCCGAGGAGAAAGTTGTGTTGGTCCTACCCATTGGATTACAGCCATGGAGGGAATAGATGATGCAGAGAGTAGGAAGCAAGAAAACATGAAAATTTTCTCCAATAAGTCCAGAAAATATAAGGTGGAATGGAAATAAATGAAAGTTCTGCTTTTTGGACTGCTTGGGAAAATTCAGGAGGTTATTGAAGGTTTCTTACAAATAGTAATTAGCCTAGGAACAAAAAATAACCATTTCTCTATTAGCTGTGAGCTTATTGATTAGAAGTGAAGGAGAAGAATATTCTCCAAGTGTTTGTCAGCCACAGGAAAATAGCCTTTTTTTAACAAGGCTGCAGGAAGCACAAAGTCAGTCCTGGAAGCTACAAGATGAAACACTTGCACTGGAAAGAGGGAGATAAATGCCATTGTATAAGTTTCTGGTTATGTGCTCATGCTTATCTCACTGGGGGGACTGGAATATCCTGTGACAAATGAAGGGTAAGAGCAAGTTTGTCAGCCATCTGTGAGACAGCAGGGAGGTGTAAAAGCCAGACAAGACCAGCAGAAAAATGAGTAGATGTAAATTGTTCATGAATAAGTGTTGTCTGGAAGTTGGAAGAAGATTCCTAAGGACCAGTGGGACAACTGTCTGGAACAGGTCCAAATGTAAAGCCTGGGAGAGGGGAAGTCCTAAGTGATTTAAAGAGGGGGTTTTCCACTGAAGAGCAGATTTGCATAATATGCTAGTCTGAAATAGGCACTGGAGTGGCTGAAAGTCCCTTCCAGTCTTGTATGTCCTCATCTCTTCAGGGGGGCCTCACAAGGCCCATATTGCTCTCATTTCCCAGCATCTGAGAGTCATGATACGACTCTCTCACCAACCACTAACTGCTGCACAGCAGCCACACTCATGGCCTCTTGCTGCCACTGGATTTTATTTTCTGAGGGGCTTCCACTGGCATCAGTGATGCTTGCAGGCTAAGACACTTTGAAGTCCAGCCTAAGCTTCACTGCACTGCACTGGGGGTAGCTGACCAGGGCAGCCCACAAGAGAGTTGGCAGCAGTAAGATCAGATCAGGCTGAAAATACCAGCAGAGCAGAAAAAGCTGAAATGGGATGAGAGACAGGCATGTCTCCTTCTTCCTTTTTAAGAAGATTCTGTTGCTATGGCAATTTTCTCTTCCCCAAGCTCATTTTATAAAAGCAAGTCCTAGAATGGAGGACTGAATTCAGCAGTTACACAAAGTAGCAATTATTCTCAACAATGGAGGAACTTACAGCCTGGATCTGAGCCACAGCGCCTTTCTCATGAAACTACCAGGTCACTTTTTCCAAGACCTTTGACATTCTGTGTTGTGAGGCACAGAAGGATATATTCTTTAAATAGTTTTTTTTTTTTTTGCTTACTGTGGTATTTGGAAATATGTAAACATTCACATTCCCTGTTTATTCATCCTGACACTGAGAAGTCAGTGTCTAGTTCCCAGGCCCCAAGCCAGACGAGGCTTGTGTTCTTCAGAGAGGTGGTGATACGAGATCAACTTGCTGGTGCAAGGACAAATGCTGATCCCAATCCACTGTCTCCCGTGCTTTCTGACCAATGCTATGCTATCAATGCCATCATTACTTGCTTGTCACCAGAGCAGAGACTACCACTGTAAAAGATCAATTCATCAGGCAAAGATAAAAATATAAGAGCTATAATGTGTATATAAGGATCAGACCAAATCTCTTTCTAGCTCAGTATCCCATCTTCAGCAGTGACTGTGAGTAAATGCTAAGGTAGAACAAAAGGATATTTCCCTGCCTCTGTGCTGTTTCTGAATCTATTTTCAACCTAGAGACTTCTTGAGCTGTGTGTTTTCTGTGTGTTTAATCACTCTCAGCAGATTCCTTTTCCCTGAATTTCCCCTTCTCCATTGAGTCATGTAAACTTTTAGCTGCTAAAGCATCCTTTGCCCAGCAGTTTACAGTTTACAGATTTATGGTGAGAAGAAAATACCATCTGTTTTCAAATTGGCTTCTACTACTTTGTATTGTCCTGCCCCTGCCTGATCTTTGTTCTGGAAGGAACAGTGAGCCATCTAACCCTACACAGCCTCTCTGCATTTCTCATGAGTCGGCAGCCCTTGTACTGCATCCTCCTTCAGTCATGTCTTTTCCAGACAGAAGAGCGTTCCCCAGACAGAAGACATTCCATACCTTTTGGATCATTCCTGCTGCCCTTCTCTCTAACATTTTCAAGTCCACTAAAGCTTCTGTGCTTATATTCTGTAGAAACGCATATTTAAATAACCTGTTTTCAAATGTTAGCAGGTTCTTAACTGACAATGGTCTACCATCTTAGCCTTCACAACCATCTTCAATTTGAAAGGCTTTGGATTATTGCACATACCCTGCAGTTTTAAACTTAATGGAGTATCTAAGCTTTTTAGTCCAAAGTCCAAAATGATTTGCAAATATAAGTAATAGCTTGTATGTGTGTTAGGTATTTCTTGATGAGCAAGAATGAAAAATCACTTGGGCTCATTTCTGTGCAATGCTGAGTTTCATGGTATGCTAGCTTAAATGTTTGATGTGTTTTGTTAGTGAGAACATGTAGATTTCTATGTGGCTGGATGGGATCAGGGCATGGGGTCTGTATGAGAAATTTGAGAATTGTGAGGCAAGTGTATGGAAAAAGATTTTAGGCCGAACAAGAAACCCTTCAAATATTTTTTTCTCAGAAACGTATTTTTGCTAAAAGGTAGAGATCACTTGGCTAAGTCTTCCAGTTGTGCTGGTAATATTCTTGCTTCACATATGTCTGACTAATTTTGTAGCCTTCAGCAGTTCATTAATTTCTGTCTCTTTTTTATTCATTCTAGAATGTTAGATTATTACATTTCTGCCTTTATTTCTTGAGTATTATCATTAGGTAAAATCTGCATGATTTGTTTAAGTTGTAACTGCTATAAGTTCCATTTTTTATCAGCTGGTTTGTAACACAACAAATGCCTGTTCAGGTAATGTACTGTCTCCAGCGTCATTTTCAGTCTTTCCAAGATAACCATTCTAGTTAATAAATATCAGAAATTCTTTTCATTGCACATTCTTTGAATACCAAAGTGGCTACTTCAAGAGTGCAAACAAATGGGTATTTATTTTACGTTTGGAAACAATGTTTATACAAGCTCACGTGCTTTTTTAACATTCTTTTTAATTTTTAAAACGCATTTTTTTGCAATTTATAATGAATACAGAATCTCTAAATTAAATTTATTGGCAAAATTTATACTGACCTCATCAGATCAAGATCTGCTCTGTGAATTTAGTTCTTAAGGGACAAAAACAAACTTAGAAAACGCCTTTCTACTTTGTGTGTCATTTCCCTGTCTATTTAATGGGAATGATGAAATAAACCGAACTCACAGCACGTTATAAAGAGAACTCTGTCCATGTCTGAAATACGCAGTGACAGCTATGGATGGAAGACAGCGGGAGTGTGATGTGGGGCCGTCTCCCCTCTGCCTGTGTCCTGGGCCAGCAGGGCTGCCACTGGCAGCTCTCCTGCCGCCGCATCCTGGGATGTTGTGCTGTGACGGCATCCTGCCAGGAAGGGAACAGCGTCAGGATAAATGAAAGTTAGCACAGAAAGCATTTCTTCCTATTTAGGAATGAAGTGAACTTGCTTGTTTAAACATATTTTTATGCAGATACTCTTCGGGTTTCTGTAGAGTTCATTGGGGTCTCTGATGTTTTCATAGAGTGGGCAATAAATCCATGGTCTTTATTTATACTTTTTCCATCTATAGATGTATTTGCTAATATGTAAGTACAGTATTTACATGGGTTTTTTTTCTTTACTATCAGAGGAAAACTAACTATTTTTCATATCAATAATATCCACAATAAAGAGGTGAAAAATCTCTGATTTGCATTTAATTTCCTTCCTTCCTTCCTTCCTTCCTTCCTTCCTTCCTTCCTTCCTTCCTTCCTTCCTTCCTTCCTTCCTTCCTTCCTTCC